TTCCCCTCCCACCCCTGGAAATCGCCCAAATTTTCTGGAAAAGGCAACAGAGGCACCTCCCCGAATTTCCCCTGGCASCCCTGGGCGAGCTCTGGCATTGCCCAAATTCCCTGGAAGAGGCCGGGGAGTGCCGGGAGCTGCATTTCCCCGAAATCCCATAAAAACGCCCCAAAATCAGCGCCTTTTTCATCCCAAACAGCCTCAAAGGTGCAGGGATGCAATTTCCAGGAACATGAACCCACCCTGCCCGTGCCAGGAGCTGCATTTCCCTGAAATTCCATAAAAACACCCCAAAATCAGCGCCTTTTCCCACCTGAACACCCCCAAAGATGCTCACGAACACCAGCCCATCTTCCTCATGCCGGGAGCTGCATTTCCCCGAATTCCCATAAAAACACCCTAAAATCAGCACCTTTTTCACCCAGAGAGCCCCAAAGGTGCAGGGATGTGATGCCCAGGAGCACGAGCCCACCATCCCTGTACCAGGCCTGGGCTGCATTTCCCCAGAAATCCCATAAAAACACCCCAAAATCAGCGGCTGGAGAGTTCTGAAGGAGCAGGGAGGCACTGCCCAGGAACACCGGCCCACCCTCCCTGGACCAGTGGCCCCAGTGGTGTCCAGTGGTGCCCAGTGGTGTCCAGTGGCCCCAGTGGTGTCCAGTGGCCCCCCGGGGTGTCCAGTGGTGTCCAGTGGTCCCAGTGGTGCCCAGTGGTGTCCAGTGGTGTCCAGAGCTGTCCAGTGGTCCCAGTGGTGCCCAGTGGTGTCCAGTCGTGTCCAGAGCTGTCCAGTGGCCCCCGGGGTGTCCAGTGGTGCCCCGGGGGTGTCCAGGAGTGCCCAGTGGTGCCCAGTGGTGCCCAGAGCTGTCCAGTGGCCCCAGTGGTGCCCAGTAGCCCCCAGGGTGCCCAGTGGTGTCCAGTGGTCCCCAGTGGCCCCAGTGATGCCCAGGGCTGTCCAGTGGTCCCGGGGTGTCCAGGGGTGCCCAGTAGCCCCCAGGGCACCCAGTCCAGCCCTTTCCGGCCCCTCCCGTGCTGGGGCCGTGCCGGTGCCGCGGGCAGCGCTCGGTGCCAGCCCTACCTGCGGAGCAATGTCCGGAATGCCGGCCTGGCTCCCTGCCCGGACCCAGCCCTGCGGCTGCGGGGGCAC